AAGAGCTGCCATGAGGAGTCAGGCGGTGGTGGTGGGGTTCGAACACACGCCCTCCGAGGTGGTAATTTGGTGACGTTACCACCTGGCCACCACCGCCTAATTAAGATAGCGAGTAGCACAATTTGCGCATAAATTATGAGGAAACCATTTTCTCGATTCTGTTTCACGAAGTGAACTTCACAGTAGTTCTTAATACCAGAAAATGCGAACATGTTAGATAATTGAGTAAGTAGTAGGACTATTCACGAATATATTTGAATTAGAAGGGTGAGATAAAACGAAAATGCTCGATTGTCATATGCGGAACAGGAATCGAACAGCGCGAACTGGGACTTGGACTAGAAACCGATTGAATAGCGCAAAATCGTGAAGAACCAAAACGGGCTTCGAATGCATTTAATTCTATTCAGGAAATCTTGGAGATAAATATCTCATTAGACAAGCAACCAGCATTGACCTATTCATCAGTATCCAATCAACAACGATATGGCCCCAAGGGTTACTTCTTGAATTCAGCTAATCCAATTACTTCCGCTTGAAACCACAGGATTGGCCGGGGAACTCCGTTTGCTGATTGGTTACCTGGAAGTTGTATCGTGATGCGTGTGTACGCATTGTCAGATCACCACAACTTTGCATCATCGAGAGAGCCTAGTCAATTTGACTCGTTTACGCCTCGATCAGCTTAGTGTTGCAGTGATTGAAGATTCCGATTCGGTTGATGGTACTTCATCTTTTTGTTTAACACGCACGTCATAATGACATTGAGGAACCTTAGCGTCCGTCTCAGACGGTTCGGAATCGCTAGGGTTGGACACTTTTTATGGCCCTTTGATACACCTATATTTCGTTTCTATCTGAAATGTGTCTGATAGACAAGCTGTCAACGTATAGATGCATCTGTTAAATCAATGATCCCTACCATTGACTGGCCCACGTTTCTGATGGTGATACCACGAACGGGGCGCAGCTCATTGGTCCTGCAGTATATCACGTCGACAAAATCCATACATCTCAGGGAAAACCTCAAGCCTTCAAGTCCGCTTTTGATTTCCGATTTGCGGATGCCATTAAACTCTTGACCATTTTCACAAAATTCTCAGCTTGACCATTAGAACACGGATATCTTGGTGCTGTCCTTAGCTTTCGAATTTCCGTTCTTCTGTTCTTAAGGGTAACGAATGCTCTAGCGTTCTCATTGCCATCAATCCAAGAATAGACGGACTGCTTCGTGACACCAAGGATTGAATGAATGTATCATTAAGGTTGTTTCATCCTAAATGGTAAAAGGTGATCACTTACACCATGGATAAGCGGTGCAGTCGATTTCCAGTTAGCTTTTGTGGATACATATTTGAGAGCTCCACGCGAAATGGTAGACTGATGACTGCCAGTATCCATAGTAAAACTTGATAGGACTCTGGATTCAAAAACAATATCATCATGGATGAACTGCTTGTACTTTTCGGCGGTTTACAATGTGTAAATTGGGTAGGATGGCTCCGGACAACAAAATGTACTCTTCACCCGGTTGCATGGAATTTGCCCCATGGCATACACCGATTATCGTTCATGTTTGAGATATTGTGGTCATAGCAATTAATGTTTTGGATATGAGCAGGTTTTGACTGAATCAAAAGTCTTTTCATTCGTGAATTTCTGTAGATACATTTACCTAGGGAAAAATCACTCCAGGATATCCATGATTGAAATCAGCTCGGTTTTCCCATCAAACGATGATGATCGATGTTACCACGATTGATCAATCTGATCAATTCACTTATCAAGAAACTGCACAACAAGATGCAGTATGTCTGAGAATGGATGCCCGAAAATCGCTCAATCAATCGGCTGTTCAAAAGCATTCTGTACACGAAACGTATGCCTGACGAGCGGCAAGAACCGCGAAACCGGTCGTGCGCTTCCAGGCAAACTTTGTCTAATCATTCAGCTTCCACTTTATATATATAATATATATATACTATGCCTAAAGTTTCATACAGCATGCATTCTTTCATTTGAGCTTTTAGGTCAAAAATGTCTGATTCGGTCAGTGTGTGACATTCTGCCAGACAAAACATTTCCATTTGACTTAATCTGTTCTGTACATTGATGAACTCGTAATTGACAATTGTGTACGTGCACGTCAAGATTCGATGAGAAAAAAAAAATAATTCAAACGATTGAAGTAGAATGCCCTAATGGATTCTTTCACGTCCCTTTTTCTCATCGAAATCGAATTGCAAAGAAGCGGGTGCATATTTTTTTTAATCTAACGTCTCATTGCCATAGCAACTGGCCTGGATTGACACATACTATCTTGGTATTCCCGTAACCATTATCTATTTAAGTACCAGCCCACAAATAAAATACTTACGGTTTCAGACTAGTGATAAATTATTTGTTACCTTTCTGTTCGTAAACATCGCATATTCTCCCATGACCAGGGTTTGGTTTGAACTGTAATTAGATGCCTATTAAGAACAACATGAAGCCCTTTATTTCCTCAGTTCATAACAACGATGCGGGCGATGTGCAAGTCTTTGCTTCATGATTGACTGTGAGGAAACATGGTCTCGGGGGGGGGGGGANGGTATTTAGTTGAGCCTTGGCCGCACTAATGCATACTGTTTTTTGATTTCTGAAGTTCAACGCATTCCTCATGGGGTTTTCACATACATACATACTTTTGAGTTTTCAAATAGCGAGTAACGTATTTATTTCAAATGTACCGATAATCATTAGATCCTCATTCTGATTAAATACGCGTACGGAATGAGCATTATTTTCGACCGCTAATTCTGTTTGGGAGTA